CCACAGCTTCAGAAACATGGCTTCGAACGAGCAGGCCACGGAGCCGCGCTCCTCCGAGCCCTTTTCCAAGCAGCTCTCCAGGTGGGATTGAATCGCCACGTGAACAAAGATGCTGAGGATGCATCAGCCATCTGCCCAGCTCCCCAGCCCTGGTCTCGGGCTAACCCGAGCAGGGGCCCCTGCCCACCCCCAGCCCATGCAGGGCCGTGGAATCGCCTGCTCCACTCCTGACCTGCTTGAGAGACCCTGGCGTCCAGACGAGCTTGTACACCATGTAGAAGGGGATGCAGATGAAGGACGATGCTCCTATGAGGTACCCCACCGAGACGCTCCACTCGGGGTACTGGTAGTCGAAGAGTGTCAGAGGCGGCTGGTCCAGCAGGGAGCTGACAACTATGAACTGGGAGGAACGAAGCGGAGCCCGTTAGGGGAGGATGCTCCCGGGGCCGGGCCACAGCAGGACATCCCCGCTGCCACTCACAAGCAGGCACAGGGTGGCAGCAGGGCTGTACCGCCCACAAAACCCACGTGCACACAACTCGGGTGGCCAGGAAAGCTCTTTCGTGGCAGCTGGGCATCCCTGGCACACCAGCACCATTGGCTTCCCACGGAGAGCAGGTCAGTGGCGACAACCCCCAGCCCCAGCACTGGCGCCCGTAGGTTAACAGCGCCGTGTCCCGCTGCCACCGCTGCGTTCCTGACCGGCGTGGACACTGTGGCGACGTTTCCCAGGCTGCCACCCCTCACCAGGTGTGGGCCGGGAGGTCTGTGTCTACCAAACCCCGCCGAGACGGGCACCTGCGAAGGCTGCACGTCCCCACGCTGGAACGAACTCATTTGCTGCCTGCTTTGATTAGACGCTTCTCTCTTAATAACCTGGGCAAAGCGCTTAGAGCCGTAATTAATCCTCACAAGGCCTCTTCTCCTGCAGATCTGGCGAGATTAGACCCCTCTGCCTCTGGCAGATGGCAGCCTTTGAAGTGCCAGGGAGTGCGTTTCAAAGGGGACGGATCCAGCCCGGCGCCCAGCACCGCAGTGCCATCAGAGGCGTACCCATGGCCCTGCCAGCGCGAGCATGGGACGCTGCAAACCAGAAGGGTGAAATGAGGTGCGCTTGCACCCGTGTGAGCACCCAGCTGCTGGCTCCCAGCTTCACCCTGGGGCTGCAAAGAGGCTGGAAAACGCACTTCCAGCTCCTCTTCCGGGTGAAACCCCCTGTCCCAGGGGCTGCGGGCAGCTTGTTGGTGCCCGTGGCTGGAGCAGCAGCATGAGGGGCTGGCATGAGGTCCTGCAGCCCCGGCCAGGACCCTGGGCCACCCTCCCAGCAGCTTGTGCACTCCAGGAAAGCCAGAGGGGTGTAACCAGCAGCTCAGGCATGGGGGGAGCTGGGCAGCAGCAGCCACCGGTGACGGGAGAGCAGCTGCCCTGCGGGGTGTCGACACCCCAGTCTTTAACTGGGGCTGTAGATACTCACAGCTAACAGGGCAGGGCTGATGGCAACCCAGCACACCTTCCAGAACACCCCCGGGGTGAAGCCCAGCATGGCTTTCACATCGTGGGAGAACCTCTGGATCCCTGCGGAGGAGAGAGAGCCGTCACGGCCCTGGAGAGCCGCAGAGGACGTGGGCACAGGTTGATTTACAGTCACGCGGGCATGACCCCCTCTGTGCCCCATCCCAGCCTTGCCAGGAGTCACACACGCGTTTCTGCCCCCAAACCCCCGGGCATTTACTCACGTGCATAAGGTTAAACACCCACGTAGGTGCCCGCGGGACGTTTTTCCGTAACAGAGGCAGTTTCTTACCGTAAAACCAGGAGACAGCTATGGTTTCCAGTAGCACCACTGCCAGGATCGAGCAGCCAGCACCGAACTCCTCCAGCAGCTTCACCACGTAGGCTCCCCCCTGGAACAGCACCGGGGAGGGGAGGGCGGCTGCAGACCCCGCCGGGACGCGGAGCAGGACTTTGGCAAAGTCCCGCACCAGGAGTTGTCGGAGACAGGAGTGGGCATGTGGTGGGGATGGGAGCGGAGCGGTGCCCGGTGGTACTCACGTAGGTGAGGGTGCTCAGGGAGCCCAGGAAGCAGACTGTGATGAGGCCAAGGACGAAGAGCTCCCGTCGCCCGGCCAGGACCTGGGGGTACTCGTCCATCACGGCTGTGATCACGGCCTCCAGACCCCCAAACTGCAAAGGAAACACCGGTGAGAGATGGAGAAATGAGTGGTGGGGCCAGTCCTGCTCTCAGAGAAAACCTGCTCCCCCTAAAGCCCCCCTCTGCCCGTGAGCAGAGTGTGGACATCCCATCCCATCCCCTCCCTCCGGGGTGACTGTCCCCTTTTTTGGGTAGCCCGGCTCAGACCCCCCGGAGACGATGGCTGCTCGGCTGTGCCGTCGCGCTCCGTGGCGTTCCCTACCGTACTGTCCAGCCCCAGCGTTATCATCATCAGGAAGAATATGATGGCGAAGAAGGTGGATCCCACCATGTTGGCGATCGCTTCGGGGTAGGTGATAAAAAGGAGGCTCGGCCCTAGGAGGGGACACTGGTTTGGTTTGCCATTCCCCGGCTGCTCTGGCACAGCCCTGGGTGCCGCTGGCAACGCGTGGGGATGATGCCCCAAAGCCAGGGTGGTCATGCCTGGCCTGGCTGAGATACCGGGGCCGGACACCTCGCTGTGCTCCCAGGAACCGCTCCCGGGCAGAAGCCCCCACACCCTGGCAGCCCCCAGGGACAACCATCACCCTGGCACCCCTCAGCTGCAATGGGCACCCGGAGCCCTGGGGCACCTGGGCACCGCAGGGTGGGACGGGGCGGTCACGCTGGAGGGAGGTGAACCTTTGTCTCTCGCGACGTCCTCCACCTCCACGTCCCTCATCTCGGCCATGTAGCCCAGCACGGTGAAGATGACGAAGCCGGAGAGGAAGCTGGTGAGGCAGTTCACCGCACTGGTGACGAGGGCGTCCCTGGAAGGCCGAAAGTGGGGAGATGTGGCCC